TTTTGGAAACTTTACTCAGAACTTGAATGTTATGACTCAGATCAAAGAACGTTTGAGTAAGAGTCGTAAGCTGAAATCTTGGTAGAAAGCGCATACTCGATTATTCATCTCAGAAGATGCGAAATATTGACACCAAAGGCGGGAGTTCCTTGAATATTCCGCGACAAAAGAGGACAGTTGACTGTTGAACTCAATAGAAACGTCAAAACACCACCGGGGAACATCTTGATATATGTTCAGAAGATATGGTAATGCACTCTATCCTATTACACAACACAGTTTTATAAACATAATGACTTCAACAAACATAAATGTTATAAATAATTTATGCCTATTTTTATATAATGTTGGGAAAATAAGAGATTCTGATGTTTTTGTGCGAAATGCATGTAACTTCTTATCATACTTATGAATGTATTTTGGGCCAGTGGCCTATTACTGAATAAAATGTCTGTCTGTCTGTCTGTCTGTCTGTCTGTCTGTCTGTCTGTCATGCGCTCTTAACTCACACTTACAATTGGTGCAACCCACATCACATATCTGGCCTTGATTTCTCGAAACAAACTTAAGTTTTTACTCAAATCTCAAACTGAGTTTCACAATTTGAAACAGAGGAATTTTTAACTCAACTGCAATTTCAAAATATAAAAGCCCAAACAACTTAAGTAATCTACCCACCAAACTTAAATTGTCGTCTATAGATTTGAGTTTAATACCAATTTACGTTCATTCTGTGGAATGCATTTTCCTGCGTTTTCTCAGATTTGAGTAAAAACTCGAACTTAGGTCAAAACTCAGACTTAAGTTTGTTTCGAGAAATCGGGGCCTGGACTTTGACGTCATATTGTCCGCACAGTCTCATTAGCTGTAAAACACATGGCGTCAACATTCCTGTGTATACCTCTGAACTAAACCTTACAAAGCTTGCCTCATGTTGTCTAGAGGGGACGAGTTCAATAGTGCTGACTTGGTATGATCAGAGGGTTTAATTTTCTGATACTGAACATGTTAGGCTTTATGGAGGAACTTATGGTTTTTTTCAGTAAATGGCAGCAAAGAGGCCCGAAATAAATGTTATTGTCATTGATCTCTTCACGCATTTGATCATTCGAGATTCAGAATATCAGACACAATCGTCACCATGTCACTTATCACATCACCAATTGCTGGATAGTTCGCATATGCTTCCTTTTGTAGAATGGAAATGAAACTAAAGTGTTTTCAATATGGATGTTTCAAAATCCGATGCCAACAAACATGGCTTCTATAATCTCATTTAGAATGTCATCGCCAGAGAACAATCAGCCTCGACCTTTGCTGAAACAGATTCTATAGTTCGTAAAAGGCAAGGCAGCGGCTTAAAACTATATCAATGGAAACGAAATTTGAAATCAGAAATTAAAACAAATTAGCAAAACCTTTAGTAATTGGAATGTTTTTTTGCAAAACCTTAATCGAAATGTTTGTACTTTGGACATTTGATCATTTGGTGAATATCACCGATAGTTTGACCATGCCTTGAAATCGTTTTGTAATAGAACATAATCATGTCAATCAGGTTTTCTATGTAAATATACTCTTAATACCCTTTGATTATATTGCTTTGATCTCAGAAGCATGGTCAGATGAGCATCAGCTTCAGCCTCAGTACCACAATGTTAATGACGGACATACACCTGCATGATTGCACTGTGCTGTTAGATGTAGGTCAGAACCTGATGTAATTACGGCACAGATTTGCTCTCATGAAAGCGGTAATCAAAGACCCAAAGACATAAGAGATGGACAAGGTTCACAAACAAGGTTATCTTCCAGTCAAGTACAATGACCGCATCCTTGTCCTTTGTACCTAAGTAGGTTTGGGTGGGATGGAAGCTCTCCATTTGACTCAGCAATAAGCTGCTGTTACCTTTCCTTAAAGTTCAGACTACGAAATGAAAGAATAAAAGCGGCATCCATAAGCTGCTTACGAAAATGATACTCCACTTTTGGAAAATGAGGAGGAGTAGGTCAATGATCTGATTGTGGTTCAATAATTGTCTTTTAGCCATTTCCTTCCCACCGACAAACACTGGAACAGTGGATCAGATATATCTGCATTTACGCCTCCAGATAGATGACTCTTGATGTGGTCTGGAATAGTTACGTTCACAGGATAGCGAACACCGGGTGTCAACACAAATATTTTGAATCGTAAAATCAAACTCTTGATATAGTCGGAATGGTACAGTGGACCTTACTCTTCCCAAGACGTTTTTTTTACTGCTATGGAGATCGTATTGTTGCGCTTACATATCGGAAAAAGGTGATTCTGCAGGAAAACTTTATATCGTTTTCCCAGCAACTATAGAAGAAAACACAAACGGGCACACATTGGGCTCTGTCCTTTTATGTCTTTATATCCGAGTTAGACTCATGATAATTTAAAATACTATTCACAATTTAAAGTTATTATAACAGGTGAAGAGACTTTAAAATGGGACGCGCCAATGTCGGAGATATATTTTCAGTCTCACCTTTACTTAAACACCACTCTCGAGGGGATCGCGAATCTTCAAGAGGAGCAACAGGATACTCTGATCCTGTGTTCGAAGCGTGTTGTTGGTTCTATATATGACCCATTTCTCTACACCTGAAATTGTTGAACAACGTGATTTGCTCTCTCCGTCCTCATTACAGAAACTGCAAGCAGTCGGCGTTCTGCTGTTTATTTTGTTGACAGTTACATAGACAGATTCTTTAATACAAATGCATAAAATCGGTGATTTACAATGTGATTAGGTTGTCTGACAAAACATCCACTTGCACAGTTTGAGATCGATTGGGTCATTGGATGAAGAGATATTTACAAAAAAACGGGTCCACATGCATTTCATGCCAAACTATATAGCTATGTAACACCGAACAGAAAAGCGTCTGTGGAAGCATACACTGGAACTCTTTGATTGCCATTTTAGAAACTGGTAAGTAACAGTAATGGCAAGACACATTTATAGATGACAATCCAGTCTGTCTATCTAGATAGTAATGTTATCGTGGAAAACTGAAGACTATAGATATCTTATCCTACTCTGAAACACGGATCACTTCAGCCAGCATAACTAATCAGCAGTGTGTATGTTGTACCCTATCACTTACAGCAGGCTGCCTACAGCTGTAAATATATTGGTTGCTAATCCCTTTCATGTATTCCGTTATCTTGTTGCTTTTTACTTCATGTTAAATGCATATACGTGGATCTATATCTAAACGCCGCATTATAATAGAATAAAGAAGTTGTCCTCCTTATATATTCAATTTGGAATAAAGAAGATTTTGAGACGGTTACACTAAAAACCGTTTGAAGTTCAGAGCAAATTACTGTATTCAAACGTGAGCATACTTTTACAATTCACAGAGGCGAACACGAGTTTCATTGAGTGGACGTATAAACGCCCCGGCCTAATGGCATAGTACCGGAAGTGAGGGGGTCAGATAGTTCCTGTACTATCGACGTCAGGTAACCTACACTTGTAGTATGTCTTCTGATCTAAATATAACCTGCAAAATCAGATTTTGTTGATGGGTGATATAGTGCAGGTTTCAGTGTCACTGTCGATGTCGAATGTGAGCATGTGCTTGTACTGATCCACATCAATATGTGCGCACATGCACGTGCTTTATTCTTTTGAGTCCCGTCCATGTGTCCGGACATATTCCTGCTGTATTCTTTCACGTCAATGTTTGTGCACATGCATGTGCTCTATGTCTAACTGACGACGCCCATATGAGCACACAAAAATGTACTTTAGCCAAATATTAAGAACTTAATTAAGCATCCCCTGTATTTTTGCAGTGATAGGTTTTCAACAGGTACATAAAACTTCTCGTGGTGACCACTCTTGGGTTTTCTGACCCGTATGGTCCTGTGACTCATACAAAACGACAAAATGATTGGAATCCATGTTGATTTTATGATGATAATTGATTATTAAAAAACACCGATTTCCATACAAAGCCATGTCTGTGCAAGTATGTCTCTGGAATGTATCATGTTGAATTTATTGGCGAATGTGAACATTAAAAATGTTATTTTGCGTTTCTTACACGATTCAAGGTCAATACCGAGTGTAACAAACATGTCAGCAGCACTCTCCTCCTCACACCCTGTCGGCATCCTGATTACGGGCCAGTCTACGCCATTACTCGTGTAAAGCAGCTTCCAACTGGGCCAGGTCCTGTACAGGAGGATCCCTTTGTTGCACACGACGACCACTCATGTCCCAGATATGCTCCAAAGGGTAGGAGTCGGGGCTCATTCAATCGTGAAATATGTCAGGGGGTGCTTAACTAAGCTCTTTGTGTGTAGATGTGCATGTGCTTTATTCTCATTGGTGTGTATATGAACGTCATTTTGCTAGTTTCTAACTGGTCAGTGTACGTGCAAACCGATTTGCGGTATTATAATTAGTCGATTTGCTTGATAATGGTTATGTCTGTGAACACTCACAAACAATCACATTCACACACTGGTACATGCGCAATTCCAACACTCTTTATCTTTTTAGAGAAATTATATGTTGAAATTATATATTCCGTATTATATATTCCGTAATCGCGCAATGAATACTTTATTTGACCTCATGTCATCAAATCGTAGTTTCAATATTTGAAAAGAGCATCTTTATTCTATTTGATGACATGGGTTTTGCAGAATGGTAGCGTAAAGTACCCCACGGCTACCACAAGGAGCCATCTGTACACAGAGCCGTCCAGTAGTTATTATACCGGCCCGGTGAATACGGCTATTATCAGAATGGCCCTCAAACAAATACAATCAGTCATTCGTTGATCACCTCGAGACAGAATTCCATGCATACGGCATCGTTGGGCTTACCACATTTCCACAAAAAGGACAATTATTGTTCTGAAGTTACAACTTTGATGTTTATTCATTGTAGAAATTTTACGCCATTCGGTTTCAGCCGGATTGCGTGACGATAATGTTCCATATGTCCTTGGTGTATTTGTAATATATTGAACTGTCTTCGGTCTTCGGTGGCTAAGCGACAATCAATTCCATCACGTTGCTATCATAACCAGCTTGCAGTGACTTTCCAATCAGAGTTGAAGAGGACAAGCCTGCATAGCAATAATATGATTGCATGTAATTAAATATAATCATTGATCGTATGTCACTACACAAGAAGTCAAATGGATTTTGTATGTTTAAACAAGGATTGGTTATTTGTGAAAAACACTAATTCAATTTGGTACAGTTTTTATACGGCACGTTCCTGTGATGCCAGCAATCTTTGTCCTTGGGCCGTTTCCATATTCTGCAGTGCCATTTTGTTTTTCAAGAAGGAATCCTGTCAAACAAGTCCCCTACAACTTTAATACGAGCATGGTACCCTACAGAAATGTCAGTTTTGTTAATAACATTGTTTTTACAGGCTTGCTATGTAATTTGCCAAACTTTATTCCATCTATTAAGTCACGGGACTTTCGCTGCTCAGAGGGGAGCATTAATAGCATGGAGTGGTGTAATTTCTTCCGTGTCGATAGCAGTCAACAGGCGAATTAATTCCTTAAATACACAAGATAGTCTCCCACACATCTCTCATTGAAGGATGGCTCGCGGCAGTTGCTACTGTCAGCTCTATATTGCGATCCTTGCTGAAGATGTCAAGATATCTGACCAAATTGGACTCACAAATGAATGATATTCAACGGAAAAATTTTCCGGAAGATGAGAGAGCGTCACACTGCGGTTTTAACACTAGTCATCAATATTTAATCTAAAAGAGTGGAGGTTTTCCGGACTGTCAATATTTTGACATTTATCGGATCTACGATCGAATATATAATTTCCGGAACTTTTCAAAGATGTCGTGATGACTGCGCCGGCGGTGACTCTTCATGCACCAAAACGACAAAGAAAATACACCTACTCACTGTGAGTGCCTCTATGTGTGTTTCCTGTGTGTGTGTGTGTGTGTGTGTGTGTGTGTGTGTGTGTGTGTGTGTGTGTGTGTGTGTGTGTGTGTGTGCGCGCGCGGGCGTCTGTGTGTGTAGATACGTTACCATTCAAAAATCAACACCCAAACGGATTCCACAATTTACTCAATACTGTTGGATTAACAGTTTAGTAGTTTGATTTCGAGTTCATGTTACTAAGATTTGTACAAAGGCTCACTTGTCTCACCAAGACCTCGCAGAGAAAAAGCACCTCAATGCTGGTCATGTTCCGGAAGGGCACATCCTGTAATGTAAGAGTGAGAGACATATGGTTAACGTCGTCCTGAAACCAGCGCGACCTTGGAGACATATTTGTATATGTCCTGTGATAGACTTCAGTGTGAAATATCAGTCCCCAGACACTGCCAATGGCCCAGTGTCAATCCCCGAGATGTATGTCATGTACAAGTCCTTATTACTAGAAAGGTCAACCTCGCCACAACAGTTGTTACCTACAACAATAGCACTGCAGTGATTACGGTGGTGTCCGTGTGGACGTCATAGTTATACATCGTCCCCACCTTCCTTCGTGTGTGGGTGATTGTCATAACCACTTGGCTACATAATGACAGTGTGTGTGTGCGGGGCGGGGGATCACAGACTGACCCCTTCCCGAGGCTATAAAGTGACCCAATGTGTTCAATACCATTTGTGACATAGTGACACCTAGTGTTGGGTATGTATGGACCATGTGTATGGGTTCAACATGAAGGCAACTTATGTTTAAAAGATTCATTACAAAACAAACTGTTCGCTAGAATTGGTCTTTCAAATCCATATCGATAATTGCAAAACCTATCCTATTTTGATAACGGATCCTCAATTCAAATCGAACTTTACAGCTGAAACATACTGCACAAAACATTTGAAGACATATCACACAAAAACGGTCATATATGATTAAATGTACTCTTTGTGGATTGATTTGTAATAGAGAGACACAACAGAAATTATCGACACGAGTCAGGCAGATTAAATCATTCATCAATCGAAATGTTTCCAATTGTGTCTACCAACATTTCATCCCGAAAATCACCCCATCTTGTGCATGAAAATTACAATAGTAGAAAAATATACCACCTTTCTAATAGCCTTAAATGCAGTCGACCTTACAGAATGTCAAGAGAAAAGTCATTGGCTTCGACTGCTATGTACAGCAACGCCATATGGATGTAATAACAAAATAAAGGAAGTCTTTCTAACCGAGGAACTGCCATCATCAATGTATTGAGTCTGTTTCCGGCATCCCAAAGGCGTCGATGTAGTCATGGTCGCAAGAAGGGACAAAGATCAAATGAAACCATTCCTCGAAGTAGTCGTTGCGTCTCCTGCAGGAAGCATTAGGACTTCACGCAGTGAAAACAAGACGATACTCTAAGGAATTAAAAGAAATTCGACGATTCAAACAACTTCGGTTTATGGGTGGTTCTACAGACAGCAGAAGCCTAAAGTATCGGCGGAAGAGTTTAGTTATTGATATTTCTTCGAAGCGTTTGGTTAAACCAGATACACTCTCTCCTGAATCAGACAAAAACCGCATGTTCCTTATCAGGATGTAAATGTGCTGGCCAAGAGAAATGGTTTTATAACAAACCTGAAGGACATATAATCATAGGTGCCGTCTCCATTGCTGACAAAGGCAACCTTCGTAAGTTATTTAAATGTGGAATACAATTCTGCCAAAAATATTCATAGATGCTACCAACTTTTGGCTTCACTTTGAAACCTGAAGAGATGTCCATTCCTCTTTTGTACTGGATTCCAAAGCTACATACAAATCCTTACATAGGGGCATATATTGTTTGGGCCGGCAAGATTTACTATAATCTTTAATAGTATCAAGGAATTCACAGAAGGTATTTGAGGAAAGCGGAATTAATGCCATGTATATTCTGAAAAACTCAAAGGATTTTCTTTAATTGTTACAATCTCAGAAACAGACCGAGTTCAGTTCTGTGAAAACAATTGGTTTTTCAACCTGGCTCACCACTATCCCACATGACAAACTTCAGCAAACGTGATTAACACAAATGTACCTGCATATCGATCGTCAAATGTTCAGAAAAAATTGTCGAAAATAAAGGACAATGGCATGTGAACTTTACTGAGAATCTGATACCGTTCAATAACCATCAAATAGCCATTCTCTTCCACTGATTTACCCACCTGAACATGCAATTAAGGAGACAAGTGAGGCCGAATCAATTGTTTCATATTTAGATCTATGCAGTGGCAATGAGTGGCTCTTCAAGGCTGTATGACGAAACGGATTATTTCAATTTTCCAGTAGTCAACTCTTGTTTAATGTCGAGCAATATTCCAACAGCTCGAGACTTTGGTGTTTACACGTCACGACAATCGAGAACGTTCCTTCTACCAAGAGTTCAAAGAGCGTCAAACGGCTCTTGCTCAGAAGTTGTTGGAACGAGGTAACTATATATATTCGATGTCTTAGTAAAGCTTAGTGGTAGACCTGCAGAGGCCCTTCAAACAGTTGATGCATCAGTGACAAACATTGATGTCCGATGCAATTCCCTATTTTGACTTTTACCATACGTTCTCGATTGTTTTTCAGGTAAACAGTTGACTAGCCTTAGCTTATGATTATGACGGGTCCCACCGGTGGGCCAGGAGACACTCGCCTTTTGGCGAACACCTGTTTTCACTGATCGATAGTGATTCATAAATACATAATTCATGGTGTCAGTCACCAGGTTGTCTGCCCCTGACTCGATTGTTTACAGACCGTGTCGTACGGCTGAATGCGGCGTCAAGCAAGCATATACTCATAATATAGTCACAATTGTACAATCGATTCTTCTTCTAGCACGGATGTTGAAAGGGCGTTTTCGTTTCTATTTACATAATGGCCCCTTTTGTGATTTACATAATGGCCGCCGTTTGGGTTACATAGTGACTCTTTGTGTGAGTTACATTATAGCTTATGTATTTAGTTACATAATGGCCACTTGTGTTGGTTGAATAAGGAACACTTGCTTGGGCTATATAGTTACAAACACTTATAATTTTTGAAAACATGAATCTGATAAACTGACATAACTGGTGACACTTGAAATGCCCGGCACTTTTCAGTCAACGTAAAATTGATAGAATCAGGGTAGCATTTCCACATTTGTTCTTTTAGTGAGACAAACCACAAACAAGCAAATCATGGGTTTCATGGAAAAAGATCCATGCAAGACAATTTAATATACTATTCAAAAAAAGAAAAGCATAACCCAGAAGTCTGTTGCGAATATGTTGAATTTTCAAACATGTATAACTCGTCCACGAATAGACTTCAGGAAATGAATTTTTGCATCTGTTTAAAAGATGGACATGTCTATACAACCAAGTGGATAATTTAGATAACGGAGACGTTGAGTGCCATGGTGACGACGTAGCACGGGCCCGACGTCGGAATTCCTGGCTCTCAGTCCAATCTCTCTCAACCTGTTCCGTACACTTTGACCATGCACCCTGGCTGCTGTGCTCTCACTCGTGGCAGTAGGATCATGGCCAATGTAGTATCCGGATGTACCGATCTTGGGCTTCAGTGGTGACTCGAGGCCTGCCTGTACGGGGAGGGTCATTTGTTATGCCTGTTTGGTTGTAACGAGTTGTAAGCCGTGATATCGTGCTCAGACTAACATTCAGGCGCCTGGCAACAGAAGATTGGTAATCTCCAGCGTACATTCTTTCAATGGCGATTTCCGTGCCGCAGCGTCAAGACTTGGTGTAGTGATTTGACCTTGACTCCTTCAAAACGAATACCGATTTCCGAAAGTAATCTGGATTTTATAGCCAGACAGTGCATGCTCTTTGCTACACAATTTCAACTGGAAGGTGATACCTCTTGCTTTGTGGTGATGCCTCTTTAATCCTTGTAAGAAATCTCATCAAAATCGACATTTTCAGGTAAAGTCGATTTTTCACTTGTGCAATTGTGTAAAATCATGTTATCAACACTTTTGTAACATATTTTGACGACTGCTTGAACACAATAGGTAACTGGTAGATTTTTTTAAAATACAAAACGCATATGCGTTTCTTTTTTTGGATAGTATATATACCATACGGCACATTAGGACAGATATGGCATTGGCTTCTATAACATATTGGGAGATGTAGGCGTGATCGCCTTTAGCACATGGGGCCGATACGACGTTATCGCCTTTATCGCATGGGGGCAGATATGACGTGTCAGATACGTTTTAGGTTCAGTTCACATATGTCGCACACTTTTCAGTCAATGTAATGATAATGAAAGAATCGGTGTGGCATTTTCCATATTTGTTCCTCTTTCAGGGTGAAAATCAAGTGGAATAATGCTCCATCCTGACAGATGGCCTTGTAAATTGTAATTGAAACAGGATGGGAATGTTGGCTCTTGTCATCTTCTGAATAAAAAGACAGTCGAAAGCGTGAACAATTAACAACTGAACTGGTAACCTCTACACAGAAATATTGACAGATTGAGCTTAACACCGGCAATATTCACATGGGCGTGTTTTATTGAATGTTTATTCATTGTCTTGACCAGTATTCTCAGATGAAAGCTCTCATAGGTGGTCTGCATTGATCGTCATCACGACAAAATAGTGAGGTTGGGTTTATTACAGATCTTGTCGTCGGGGATATCGTTAGCAGACTCCCTAGAAGTGCTGAATCATTAAACATAGAATATTCACATATCACTCCTGGAGGTGCCTCTAGAGCACATTGTTTGTCATAGGCATAATGAGATATTAATATGGTTTCACGACGGAAAATATCGTTATTCCGCTGCTTAATTAGTCGCCAAAGTGCAGTTTTATCAATAATGTACTCCTTAATTGAGTAGAGAAGATAATGTCTGTGCTGGGTACTGTGATATCATTATCTCACAAGCCGTATTTGTACTGGATACAGCTATCCAGGGTCGTCGGATTTACGTAACGAGAGATAAACGGGACGTATCGAAAACAGGAATGTAAACAAACGGCAATATATGGAAGAGTATGGACGACGTAATATCGCATCGCATCGCATCGCATCTCGCATCTCGCATCTCGCATCGCATATCGCATCGCATCGCATCGCATCGCATCGCATCAGCCGATCAAGACTTCCATTAGTTTAAACCGGTCTTCTTTGTATAAATACAATGTATTAGTAGCACAAAGAGAGCATGCGTGATTACCGCCAGAATAAATAAATGATTACCACTTACAGCTGAGATACCTGTTGACTCGAGAACATCTCGCTGCTGCCACATTCACATCAGACTCAGGTGTCAGCACCATACTTGGACGACATATTCATTATAAGTGTGGAATACAAATGGAGGTCTGGCCGCTTGGTTGATTGTGTGACCATGATCTCTGTTTTTTATCTGGTTCGTAGGCAATTAATACGGGCACCGTGTTACAGCAATACATTTACTGAGAGTAGTGTTAAAGTTTAAACGAGAAAACCAAACGAATGACAAGTGTTTATGGATGTTCAGCTTCTTTATAGTACAATGGCAACATTTCGGTATACATGTATATACTTATACGATTTCCAAGCACGAGCATGCCTGAAACCTGCTTGACAACGGTACAAGTGTCTAAACCGAAACGTCGCCATTGTACTATAAAGAAGTTGATCATCCATAAACACTTGTCATTCATATTACTTACAACTTCTAGAATGCCTCTCTAACAGTTCAAGAAAATCATAGGTTTCGTGGAAATTGATCGATACGGACAATGTAACATATAAAGTAATCACGTATGGCACTGTTTTCATTGTCACTTGGGGACATATGTGGTGGCATTGTCTCTTAAGCCTCATTGGGACAGATATGGCATTGTCTCCTATGCAAGTGTGGGACAGATATGTCGTGTCTCCTTTGTCACATAGGGACATACTTTACCTGTACAGACATGGCACTGTATCCTCATTACAAGGAGACATATATGATATGTATCCTATATTACAACCAGATATAGCGTTGTCTTCTATCTCACACGGAAACAGATACGAAATTGATCAGAAAAAGCATTATGGGCTGTGTACTGAGCCAGGTGAGACGTCCGTTGTTATCCTCAGAGCACAAAGCAAAACGACCAGCTTGGTGTCAATCTCAACATCACTGTAATTTGAGGTCATGGGGAAGGGTCCATAAAAGGAATATCTTAGAGGAAGTAGCATTTGGCGGAGGTTCAATGACGATGTGGGTGTGTCTCTCACATGTCTGTAAACTGGACGATCAGACCAAAT